AGTTTCAGAATATTGATTGTTGTAATTAGAAAGTAATTCTGGTGCTCCGTTGGTTATCCTGCAGACGTCTGCAGTGGGAATATCAAGATCTTCAAAGGCTATCTTTGTTTTCATATGTCTTTATAATAATTTTTCAAAACCAGTGTTAGTTCCTGCACTGCCTTACCATTGGTCTGCATCTCATCCCGCAGCCCACTTGGGAAGCTCTCCAGCAAAAGTCCAAAGGCCTTGAACACTTGATTCCTGCTCTTCTGTCATTTCCTCTATTTGAAAGTTAAAGAAATTTAGGAGTATTGCAGGAAGAGTGGAACCAGTTTTGTCAGATGATGGCAGTGTTGTTGGGGCTGTCTTCTCTTACTGATTTCCTTCTGAGAAGCAGAAGAGCAGCTTGTTCCAGCGATGTTGAACATCACTCCCTGTGGAGGCTGATCAGCCGTCATCCACAGACCTGGGCGAGCCTATTGATTTCCTTCTGAGAAGCAGGAGAGCAGCTTGTTCCAGCCATGTTGAACATCACTCCCTGTGGAGAGTGCTCAGCCGTCATCCACAGACCTGGGCGAGCCTCTAGCATCTCCTCATACAGGCTGGGGCTGGCTGGCAGCAGCAATGCAAGTAACAACTGTCGAGTGCTCTGGTGGAAAACAGGCTGTAGTCTGCTTCCCTTTGCTTGGGTAACTTTGTGTCTAGTCCTCTTGCTCTTTAATAGGGATACACTTGCAAAAGATTGGCAAGGGAGGAAGTGTTGCCCCAGCAGGGTTTTCCAGTCTGTTTAATTATAGTTTTTCAAAACTAGGAATTTGATATATTTGTTTATTGATTGAGTCATACTAGTGGCTGTTAGTTGGTCTCAACCTTAGGAGGAAGGGAAGTAAAGGGTCTGGACTTTGTTTTTTTTCTTTATTTATAATATGCCTGTCTGTCTTGAGACATAATTCTACAAATAAAAAGTGATCTGTTCTCTCAAGTGTGACTTTACCCAGTAATTAGCACTAACACACCTCCATTTATCTACTGTCCCTCCTGGGGGAAAAACACCTAATCTAGAACTGGAGGGCAAGCCTGGGCTGGCTGTCACGGCTGCGTGTTGTGGAGTTGAGCCTTGGCAGTCTGCGTGCCTGCCTGTCTGTGGACCTGCTAGTTGGTCATGCTTACACTGTTTTTTTTAACATACTTCTGGTGCCAGTTCTAACTGTCCTGCTTCCATCCACACCTTGAAACCCAGGATTGCACAGCATACAGCAGAGTGGGAACTGTTGGGCTTGCAGCCAGTCTTCCCAGCCTTTCTTAGGTTCATGAAGAAGCCCCTGTGCACAGACCTCCCTCAGCTGTGGGGCGCTGTCCTTCCCCTCTGGTTCTCCCAGTCCCCTGCATATCAGGCTCTGCCTGCTGGCACGTCTCTGTGCCTTCCTGCCTGGACTTGCTCCGCTGTCCTGCAGAGGGAAGCAGAAGAGAAGGCAGGAGCCTGAACAGAAGTTGATATGCAGACATGGATGTGCCATGGGAGAGGTGAGACCACGTTCAAGCCAGGTCTCATGTGGCTTGCTCACTGGCTTTCCTTCATAGTGCCATGGTTCTTGTGGTACTGGAGAAGCTACTGGCCAGCTCCCCTTTGTCATACTGGGAATCTTGCTTACATGCTTAAGGCTGCTGCCACAGCTCGGGCCAGCTGTGTATGACAGCCCTGGGCTTGCAACACCACTCCACACTGTGTTGACTGTCAGATGTGAACCTCCAGCTCTTCACTGCTCTCCTCCAAGTGCAGATAGCCACCAAACTTCAGGCATCCTGCCCGAATTCAGCTGCTGGAGGCACATCACATGCTGGAAGCTGATAGGCATGGGTCCTGTGTGTCCATAGCACTGCCAGGAAGCTTTTTATCAGTCAGCTTTGTCATGAAGTGGTGTGAAGTCTAGTCCTGGAGTGTTAGACATCATCCTTGTGCTTCTGCAGGTTTATGTAGATGAGCCCCTGTGCAAATAGGTTTCCACTGGCATAATTTCATCATGACTCTGTTTTTGTGCCCTTTCCCTCTCTGTCAGAGTTTTGCAGAGGCCTTACCTGCTCTAGAGAAGCACAGTTGGAAAGCAGCTTTTGGAGAGTCCCTTTCCGTGGGTCACGTTGTGAGCAGCAACACTGGAACTTCGGAAAACTCACATTCAATCTTTTTACTTTGTTCCAGTTCCAGTTAGAAGAGTTTTCCAAAACACCATTGCCCTGTTGTCTAGAAGTGTTCTGATTACCAGTCTGTCTTCAGACAATGTTGCTGTACAGAAGCTGTCTTTAAACTTAGTAGTTTTTCTTCCTTGCTTTTTCCCCCCTGCATCCCATGGTCATCTCATTATATTGATAGACTCTTCCTTCTTTTCTGTCTTTATTTTGCTTAACTGAGCAAGCCAAGCTCTCTGTTTTTTCTACTAAAGTAGGCTTCCATGTCAGTTCAATTGTCCAGTTTAATTTTTTAGCTTTTTGTTCTTTTTTTTTCAAATAATGAATCTTTCCTGATTTTCTCAGGATACAAGTTGGAGCAAGCTTTGCAGTCTCCCCCAGGAGTTCCTCAGCCCAGTCTGTTTCCCAGAGGTTCCAGAGGAACCATTTAGTTCATCAAAACTTGCTCTTTGGAAATCACAGATCTTAAACAAAATTAGCCTTCCTATTATCCTTCCCACTTATCTAAACTGAATCACTTCATGGTCCCCTGTTCCAAAGTTGTCCTCATTACTTAAGATAAAGAGCAGAAAAGAATCTATTCTTGTTCATTCAGCAACATGGATAAAGAAACTTGTCAGCTGTCACATCTAGGAATAACTGGCCTTACCATGGTTAATAGCATTTGTTCTCCAATCTGTACTGTGAAGTTAGTCTCCCATGTTGACATCCCCATTTCTTTAATGATGTAGAGCTCTATCCAGATCCGTGCAAGAAGTCAAGAGCAAAACCAGTGTCTTTCTCTTAGGAGTCTTCTTTGACCATCTTTCCGCGGCATTTCCAAACATTCTCTGTTCTCTTCTCTTTTTTTTCCAAAGTCTGCTGTTTCATTATTGCATGACAGTATCTTACCGTATAAAACCCATATTTCTTTTCCTTGAAAAGCACAGACCTTTTGACACGTGTTTCAATAATAATTGCTGTTCCACCCTGTTTGTGAATTTTCCTGTAATAACACTAGTGCCTTGAGTGTTCCTCTTTTATTATGTCAGTCTGCCTGCATTATTAGCACACAGCTATTTTAGTTGCTGTGTTTTTCATTCACGTTTTTGGCTTATTTTTGGTTTTAGACTGCATTTGACTCCCTAGCCAAGGCTGTATATGGTCCTTTAGCTGACAGTGTCACATGCCTAGCCCCTTTTCTCATCATTAGTAGCATTTTTTTCCTTCAAATCCCTGAAGTACATTTCTCACTGTTGCTTTCATGTTTATCTGACATTTTCCCCGTTGCTTTCTGGATCCTGAAACCAGTGTGGAATTTATGTTTACCTCCCCCAGCTTTGCCCTGCCGTGTTCATACTGTGGGTTGTACCATGCTGGTTCCAGTAGTTGGGATGTTTGGGTGAAGCCCTCCTGAAGACTCGTCTTGCAGTGAAAGTACCCAAAAGCCACCTTTACCTGCAGAAGCAGTAACTGAGAGGTGGGGACTGTAAGCATCTCCCCAAGGGTCACTCAGGCTATGTGAGCTGTGTTGGTTCTTTTCCAATCGGCACGTCCTTCACTTGCTAGACCGAAAGACACGCTCGATTCTCAAGGTCTGATGGACACAAATGTACTTTGAAATGGCATGAGAAGGAAATGAGTGCCTACAACAAACACTTGTATGGGACAATAAGGTATGGTTTATTTGCTCTTAAATGGCCAGAGGTTTGTAGAGGGCTTCCTCCTGCCAGCCATCCTCCCACTTTGCTGGAAGAAAAACCTATTGTTAGCAGCAGGGACATTATGAAAGCTTGAGCTCGAGCAGTGGTGACCTTAATGTCCCAGTTAGAGGTAGTACACGTCTGCATAACAGGTGACAAAGAGCCTGTGTGTTTGTGTGTATGTGTATCCTTTGGTCCAAAAAAATGTGTGTGCAACCTGTAAGGCTGCCAGGAGTTACAGCCCTCATAATCCCCTCTTCCACTGTAGAAGCTGTGGCTGCAGCAATCAGTTAAGAAGATGGTTGAAATTCCTGATCCCAAATTAGGTAAGTACATGATGGAGCAGCAAATTGTTTCTCTCTTCTGTGCGAGGCTGACTGGCTAGTATTCTCTCCAGCTGATGTTTTCTGTTCAGTGCTACAAGCTGCACAGTCTGAATGGAGTAAAAAAAAACTTTACTGTTGTCTTTGTGATGGGTAAATTTTATTTTCACATCCTTCAGCACTGAAAATTGAGTTTGCCAGTAATGTACACCAAAATGAAAAATTATTTTAAAAATAAAGGAACAAGAACAAAGCAAACATCTCTGCCCTGTTTTTAAGCAAAGATTGTACTATATTACGCCGTTTTTATGTATAAGATGTGTATCTTGGCTGTCTTTAGTCAGCTGTCTCTTAAAAGATTTTTATCTTACTCTGGTACAATATGTATTAGTGTTGTGAGTCTTTCTTTCAATAGTTGATATTAATCTTTACTGCTGAGATGAAAAGTTAGGATTATGTGTTTTGGTTTCATACAGCTTTCCAAATGATAGTTGAACATTTTTGAGTTTGGGCATGTGTGTGACTTTCTGTAGCTCTTTCTCCTGCCGTTCCTTTTATAAATTCTTTTTAACAATAACATACGTTGTAACTGTTTGCTTATACAGTTTTTCAGCTGATAAAATGATATTGTTAGAGAATGGAAATTGTATGTGTAGTTTCATGAGGATACAAGTTTAACAAAATAGAGGAGCAGGAAGAAGGTCTGCTACAAATGTTCTGTGTTTTTGAAAATTAGACCTCTCAGAATAATTTGTGCCACAGCTTACTTGGCAGTGCCGGAAATGAACTTAAAAGACAGGAAAAATTATTGGTTTGTTTAGACTCGTACCTTTCTTCTTCTGTGTCTCATACTAGATCCTTTCAAAGGAGTGGGAGAACCACTGTGACTGCCAGACCAATATTGTCTTGCTAGTGAAATTGCTCCCTCCTGGCCTCTATTATATAGCTTCCAGAATTCTCATTCTTGGTCTTACGTGCACTGTTGTTGAGGTATGAATATAATTTCTTATTTCTTCCCAAGATCTTGGTTCTGAATCCTATTGGTTTACCATACCCTTCCACAAGTATTCTGTTTATTTTAAGAGCTCTTCTCAACCTTACTTAAATATTTCAGAAGTGGACTCAGTGGCATCCTACAACAAGGATTTTGACAGAATTACAGTACTTACAGTTCTTTTCAGGTATTTCTTTCTGTCTTGCACATTGCAGTTTTATTTTCATAGCTATGTTCTTATTCTGTCATCAGGCAAAATAAATTAAAAATAGGGAAAAAAACCAAAAAAAACCCCAGAAAAACAAACAGGGGAAAAAAACTTTAACTCTATTAATTATTTTCTATGTCTTTGACCTAACCTGACTCATACCAAGGTTAACCATCATGATGTGGGAAGGGAAAAGGCACGTCTGTGAACAGACAGGTTCAGTAGGGGCAAGCTGCTGTTTGCACTTTGCAGTTTAATAAGCCTAAAGGTAAAAGGTGGAAGACAGAGTGTTGCTTTTGCGAAGTTTTCCTGCTGCTGAAAATGGAAAATATTGAAGAATCGAATCACAAAAAATGTGCAGCAATGGGCTGTGCTGAGAATTGAGGCAGGGAGGAAAAAGACTGGTCTTGTAGAAAAGGAATAAACTGGACTTTTATCTTCTGAGTACAGGGACAGTAAGTTTTATGCATTCCAGCTAGAGTAGAGCATTTGAATGGAAAAAAAGCAGCGGAGGATACTGAGACAGAGGTAGAAGCGGCCAAAAACTGGCCTACTGAATGGTGAACTGAAATTCTTTGCAAAAGAAGTTCTATTTTAGATGTAGTAACTTTAAATTACAAGAAGATCTTATAAATTCCTTCCTGATGAGTTAACATGGCAATGGTTGTAGTGTACAGATGGTGCAGTTTATTTGCTAACTATATTTTTTACGTCAGTTGGCAGTAACATTTTAGTAGTACCTAAATATGCATCTTAAGTGCCTCTCTCTAGGCATCTGTGCTGGAAAATTCAGGCCATGGTTGCTTCGAACTACTTCAATTGCTATTTTCTTTAAAACCTTATAGTATGGCTGTAAAAATAAATACCTTCTAGGAAAATCAAAAGGGACTGTGTTATCCTAATTTTTGTGAGAGTTTAGTTGGAAGAGGATGGATTTGATGCATTCAGTGAAATCAGATCAAGGTTTGAAATAAAAGTATCAAAATAATATGAATTATTGTAAAACACTTCCTCTCTCTATGAAATGAACTCAGATCAGAGATCACAAACATAATAAAAGGACAGCTGTCACATCCGGCTCTCTCGGGTACCTGTTTGTTTTAAATGATTTTTTGTCAATTCTGGAATAAACAGTCTGACACCTGAGGGTTACCCTCTGCATTGCTGAGCGCTTGTATGTAGTCTCATGCCAAAATATTTCATGCCTGCTGTTTCCCCACTTCACATGTCTGTGCAGGACAGATTCAGATCTATACAGGTAATGTGCAGAGTGACGTTTGGCTCAAAGCGCGTCTTGACGATATGCACTAGATCATCATTCCACAGAGTATTAACTTGTAGGTTAGTTCCTCGGTGAAAGAACTAGATGCTCTTTACCAATTTGCTGTTCACTTTCGAACACTTTGCTGAATAGGAGCTTGAATCTAAAATGCAGCAAACAGACCCTCCATGAGGCTTGTGACTTATCCTTCGTTGGTATTGTCTTCATCAAGTTTTGTCTTTGAAAGCTTTGCTGGCAAAAACAACAGTAGACTCCACTGCGAGGGGAGGTGCTGCAGCAGTGGTGGAGTTCCTGCCCATTGTTGGCTTTGAACTGTGTACGGCTGTGTGCTTTCATGCCTTATGAGTGTGTGTAGGTGCTTAAGGTTTCTTCCAGGTCATTTCTGGTACCCTGTGAAGGACACTTGGTGGATGAGAGACCAAGCACTGAAACTTCAGATTGTAGTGTGAAGCACTGAGCATATAGACAGCAGTTGTCTGTTAGGGCTGAGACTGCTGGCAAATTTTGACACTTTTTTTGTCACTCTCCAATGTTGCCTGTTTGAGACTTTGAAGTACTCTTCCTTCTTTGTACAACACTCACAATCCTTCCTCTTCTTTGTTGTTCCTTACTTTCCTCTTTCACTGGGAAAGCTGGGCATCTTCTACTATCCACTAGCAAAAGTGAACGTACAGTTTGTGTATGCAGTCAATTCACCACTTACTTTAATTAGCAAAAAGAAACCAGAATGCATTAATTTAAATACTTAATTTCCTAAATTCCAGAACTTTGTATGTAGTTATTTTTAACCTGATTTCCTAGGGAAATATGTTCCTGCAATCATTTCTCACTAACCACCCACTGTTAATAACTTCAGGAGCCTTTGTTTTGATCGCAGACTTCGGGTAGGGTGGAGATCTCAGTTATGAAATCCACAGCTTCACAAATCCAGACAGGCAGGTAGAAGGGAAAGGATTCAGGCTGGTCAGGCTGCCACGTGAGGATAGCCCAAACTGCTAGAAATGAGAGGATCTGCATGGAAGAGACTTCACAAAGACACCAGCTGTGGGGAAAGGGCCATCAGCGTGGGGGCACTGGTGGGTACCAGGTGTCTGTGCAGGAAATGTCAGTCAAAGGAAAGGTGCCCTTCATTTGCCTGCCTTCAGTGCTGCTCCTCATGGAGTGTGGAGCCTCCTTGGTTCTTCTTCTTGACATCATTCTCAGGAGAACACCTCCAAATTGTGAGCATAAATGCTGCACAAGAATGAACTGACCTTTCAGTTTGCCCTTGGACATTGCTTCTGTACCCTTTTGTGTGGGCTCTGACTGCTGGCCCTCAGCCCTTGACTTCCTTGTGCAGCCAGTCCCTTCTTTTTCTTTTCTCTCTGCAGAAGGACAACCCAAAGCACATTGATTGTCCTGCATCCTACTGACACCGCCCTAGGTGCGTGTCTCCAGGCCCTCTTGCCTCTGCCAAGGCATTATGGAATAGCTGTCTGATTTCTTCAAGAATGTACCAATAAAACAGAGCTAGACACCACAGCAGGTGTGGATGGGCTTGAATCATGGTCGTGCTTTGGAAAACAGCTGCTGTGGATGCAGTTGTGTGTTGTAAACAGCTCATGTTAGTGTCATGAAGTCATTACAGAAACATGGTGGTACCATTAGTGGTCCAAAGGCTAAGAATGCACCTTTCTAGATAAACTGGTTTCATCAACTTCATCTCAATGCACAGAGCTGGTTACACAAACAAAACGCAGAGTCTTTTCCAGTTGTGTCCTTTTATTCTTTCAACAGCAAATTTCACATTATGCTACAATGTTTCCCAGTGGTGGGATCTTACTTAAAGTAAAACAAGAAAGCAAAATTTAGGAACAGGTAGTAATCAGATGCTGAAGTTGGCTGTATCAGTTATCATACAGGAAATTCAGCTTCTAAAAATTTTCTGATTTTGTGGTATGAAAGAATTCTGATTTGGTTTGGCTTATTTCACAGGTTTCTTTTCTATTTATCTTGCTTTTAAATGTTAGATAGATTATCTCTCTTCAGTTTGACTAGAGAGAAACTCCTGCTGTGTGGGCTGTGTGCTGTGTGGACCCAGTCCTGCACCATGGCACGTGTTCAGGAGTGAAGCTGTTGGGAAATGGCACTTTCAGCGTACGAGCTCGCAGCAGGAACACTGCTTCTGATGTATCTTCAGACTTGAAGATAACCATGAGTTGGTAAAGCTGCATTTCTGAGGAATCTGCTGGTGACTTTTGGAAAAGGATATGCTGACCTGTCCAAGAGACAGACAGGCACCTGCTTTCCAGTATGGGAGCACCTCTTACACTAATTTAGTTTGCTACGGCTTCAACTTTAGTTTTACTCTTGCTACACTCTTGCTCGATTTACTGTTTCAGCAATTAAATGATAGAGTAGACATTAGAAGTGTGTTTCCAGCTATTCACAGAAAAATAACTTAAACTAATAAAAAATCCCTTGTTTTTCTTAATTGGTCAAGTGAATTTCTCTTTTGCTTAAGCAGATATTGAAATACTCTCTCTGTCATCTGTATTGTTAATCAATTGCAGAACTTTATACCACATGGCATTACTCTACTGGAAATAGATTTGAAATATATAAAGGTAGAATATACATATATTTTTAACAGTGAAAAGTAATTTTCTGGCATAATAGCCAAAATAAAGTGCTATGAAGCTATTAGCAGTAAATTGTAATTTCTTGTATGTAATTTAGTATACTGATAAGCTGGGGGGGGGGGGGGGGGCAAAAAAAACCCCAACAAAAAAACCAGAACTAATTAGACATTCAGTTTAATACTCATTAGTCATTCAGTTTAGCAGCACAGAGGCAGCAGTCGGCCAGGGTGTGCTTTTTTATGTCTGCTTCAATTGCACACTTCATTTATTTGGACATGGCATAGGCGGCTTTCTCTGTCGCACGGCATCACTGCACGATTAGCACGTTGCGCCCCAGGGCAGCTGGGACGCTTTGCTGGGGCAGATGTTCTTTTCAGCTTATTCACTGGCCGTTCTGGGGTTGTTTACTGTTGTCATAGCTACCTACATTGCCATAGCAGCTGAGCTGCTGTGTGTGAAGCAAGTGAATATAGTTATAAAAGGATCATATTTTGTTCTGTCTCTGTAACTTACCATCTGTCAACTGACTGTTCGTGATGGATTTAGAAACCAATTTAAGAATTAACAGCAGCCGGACAATGATTTTTGCTTATATTAAAGTGACAATGGATGAGGATGCAGATAAGTTGGTGCTTCAGTGAAATGCTAGTTTCTTTTTTTCCCTTAACTGTAGCAATTTGGCTTCCAACACTTTCTCAAACATCGCTGAAATCCTTATTGACAAATCGAAATGATCAAGTGTCATCTTCTGTACTTGCTCAGGTGTAGGTGTTCTTGCGCTTTCCCACTCTCCTGTCAGCTCATCCCTGTGTGTTGCTTACAAATCGTGCTGTTGCACCTGCTTTCACAGATCCCTTGTAATGAAATCTAAATGCTCTCCACAGAACTGAATAGTCAATTCATAAGCCTAACAGCGAGGGTATCATGTACACATGAGTACGGTTTGGTGATTTTCATCACTGCGCTCTACTTAATGATAGCAATGGGATCATATGCAAGTTTGGGGGTAAATCTAATGTGTGATCAATGAGCCCTCTGGATAATGAACTCTTATACCTTTTCACTGCAGAGATTTGGTTGAACCTATAGTTTAGCAACGGGGGCAAGAAGATTAGCCCAGTTGTAAATAATGTATTTATTGGTTGATTTTTCCAGATCCTGACATTGATGCTGCCACTGCCATGATGCTTTTGAATACTCCCCCTGAGATACAAGCAGGTTGTGAGTAGATATTTCTATAGCATATAGCAACATAGACGTGTAAAGTTAATATTCTCTTTTATAAGTATACAGCATATCAGATAAAAAGAAGGAATTAATGAAGAAATACAACTTCCCATGTAGACCCTTACACTTCCTTGACCCTTACATGAGTACAATTTTGTGGTTCGTATTACATTCTTTGTCACATGAATAATAGTAATCCGTGATCTCTAATGTAAAAGAGGAGTTATTGTTATTCATGACTTACACATAATTGAGTAACGTGTTATTATCTATACTGATAGAAAGACCTGGGGCAACAGCCAGGAGAAAGGCAGGGAGAGAAAGAGAGCAAGAGAGCGAAGGGGACATGGCATATGGTTTTGTTTTCATTTTGTTTTGATTTGACTCTCATCGTGTGAGTTACCACAGCCATCTGGATACTTTCCATTCACTTGGGCACTGTTTCAACTCCTTCCCTGCACACATCCTTCCCGTTTTGCCTTTTTGCTCTGTCTGATGCAAGGCAGTAGGCAGGCTCTGGGGAGTAAGGAAAGGTCTCATTTCCTGACAATACTGTCCTCCTCAGACCCGAGGTTTTGATGCCGTGTATTAACAGAGCCTTGACCCCACTGTATCGGGCTGTGCAAATAGGGTGGGAATCATCCTGCCCCACAGAGCTCACACTGGAGGTATTAAAGGAATCTTAGAGGAATACAGCTGCACAAAAGCAGGGGGTACAAGAAAACAAACATATCTCTGGTCAGCAAGCACGGTAGTAATGCTAAGTGACAGGCAGCTCTAAAAAATAAAGGCAGAAGTTAAAATAGAAGCCATTATCAAGTCTGTCTAGCATCACCACTATTGTTCTAGCTCGCACAACCAAATCCAAATTCCAGGGGAAGCCTTCATTCGCACTTTGATACTCTGCCTGGGGAAGAGAGTCAATTACCATCAAAGCATTTCCTGTGCAGCCGAGGAAAGCTATTGTCAGCCTGCTTTGTGACTCTGCCAGAGAAATGCCTCTTGAGAAGCTCCTCTCTGGAAGAGTGTGATGTACCAAGAAACTGCCCGTTCTGGAAAGAGAGAAGAGTGGTCCTTGTCCTCCTCTCCTAAACAGCCTTCAGGGACTGCACACAGTAAAAGAGCGAGAAATCCCAGCTATGTCTAGGTAGGAAAAAGGAAAGATTTTATCAGGGAGAGGAGGTTATTGCTGGGCTTAGTGGGAAGAATAAAATAAGAGATCTTCAGAGGACCAGAAATTTAAAGAAGCCAGGTTTGTGGGGCAGAGAAAAGGGGAAAAGAAGTTGGGGTAGAATGAGAGTGCAGGGATAAAAGGGTGTATGAGAGAGGGAAGGAGAATCAAAGCACTATGTACATGGAAAATGATGGGGAAAATGCAGAATAATCTGGACTCCTGGAGGAACTGGAGGGCAGGAGAAGATTGCAGACAAGAAAGGGAAGAGATCCATAGTAAGCTGCATGTACTAAACACACACCACAGATTTTTATCACATGCATATATTTGCCAGCATTGCAGGTGTTTGTGTAGAAATGATTTGGAGACTTGGGCACGGTCATTTCATAGAGATCATACCTTGCAGGTTGGCAAATGCCTTATTGCTATTTTAGTTCGTAGAAGCCGCTCTGAGGAAGGAAATTCTAGCCTTCTACGAGTTTGGCATATCTCTGCCCCCATGTCACCTTCCTAGTGGGCTGTTGTGTCAGAACGTCAAAAGTGAGAGGGAGATGAAAGCAGAAAGATGGCTCCTCATTCACATTGCGCCCTCCTTGATGTCCACAAGTAATGACACTTTCCTCTCCGCCTTTAAACTGAAATGCAGGGTCTGCTCAGAAATTCATTAATCCTTCCAAACATTGGGTAGAATTGGCTGGTGCCAGGAGGAAAGGGCAGAAGTTTTTAATTAAAAAGGAGGAATGTCTGTGTGTGTGTGTGAATGGATACCCGAGGAAGTAAATCAGCCTGTCCTACGAACTGCAGTTTGGTCTCACTTAGCTACCATGTTAGGAAAATCTTAGGCAACTTAAAGCAAATTAATTACTACTGCACATTAAGAAACAATTGCATGAAAAATCACATTTAAATTTAGTTTTCAAATAAAAGGCAATGGGACTATAAAAATTTCATTGCAATGCTGAGCATCATCTAGAAGCCCACAGTTCATTCTCTGCTCTGTCAGTGACTACAGTGGTCTGTAAATCAAGCTGTGAATGATCAGGGCAGTAAGCATGCTGGTACTGTCTGATCCCTTGAAGATTTAGAGTGCTGTTCATTGTATCAGACTGTGGTGTCAAGCATGTGCTCAAGCCATCAGGGCTGCAAAATGCCCCATCATCTGAAGAGAGGGGGACATAGTTTACAGTTTGGCCACAGGTGTTAATACCTGAGTGAAAATGTGCTTTTGGTCTGAGACACTGACTCCAAATGTTCCAGTTACTTCCACTACAAAGACTGTCAGGTGGAGGCAGAACCTGAGTGTCATTTCATAGTATAACAACTTAACAAGCCAGAGAGTTTAAAACTCTGGTCTATTTGCCTGTCCTACGGACATTTAACCATCATTGTGAAACATGGATACCTCCAAAGCAGATTGTAACAAGAGTCTGGATTCGTGTTTGTGTGGACGGCTACAGATGTTGGCTTTGACTTTGAAGGCATCTCTTGTATTAAAAGCTATCTTTCAAGCAGGATAAAAGTCCGTGCTTGTCTTGGCAGTGTGGATGCTAAAAGCATCTTTAGGATGAAGGTAGCTACAGCCATCATTCAAAGTCTTATTGAAATGTATTCTTTTAATATAGTCTGTCAGAAAGGCATCCCATCTCAGTGGCATTAGAAAATCCAGAGTAAACTAGTCCTCCTTTGTAACAGATTGATTAATTAGCTTTATGGTTTTAAATGACCATTTAAAATTCCATACCCATGTGAGAAACATGGCTAACCACCACACATGAATTCTAAAATCAATTTTTGCTTTTATATGAAATCTTGAAATAGTGTCTGAGCTGGCACTAACATTGTTTGCCTGTTTGCCATTTACACCTATCAGTCCATGCTTTAGTTTTCTTGGAAAAAAAATGGCAGAATAAAAGAATAAAACACTGTTGCTAGGATTGTGTTTGTGAGGGTTTGACTTTATAGACTCATGAAATTGATTGTTCACATTGTCACTAAAGGTTGGAAATAATGCAATTATAGTTGAGGTGTTGACATCAGAAATCAATTTCTTAAATATTAACACTTTGCAGTATTTTCATAGATCAAGTATTTCTAGATTGTAACTAAAGGCAGAATTTCAAAGTAGCCAGGTCTGTGCAAGACTCTACTGAAACGTACAATCCAGCTGGCACCAAGAATAAAGCATGAAAGAAACTGTGATGTGCTAAGAAAGGACATGTAGGAACATAGTTTCAATACTTTATTTGCTTCAGTTTATGGAAGTCCTTGTATTTCATCAAGTTTTGTATAGTTTTATTATGTTTCAAAAGAAACAGCAACTGAAACACCTGCCTTCTTCAGTAGCAGCTATCACAAGTTAAGAATACTTTGGATTTTATTAGGAGCCAGTACGTGAATATTAATTCCAAAATACATGACTTGCATTGAAAACTTTATTTTGACCTGCAGAGGACTGGGTATGGCCTGGGCCATCTTGGGCAAGTTGCATCAAATTTCTGGGCCTGTTTTCCCTGATGGGAATCTAATTCACAGAGAGGACAGAGGAAAAGGAGATGGTGAACAAACACTAAAGCTCAATTTAGAAGTCATGGGTCCTAACTCAATGAAGCACATGGGCTAGTTTTGTACAGTTGTTAAGATTTTCAATACTTCAGTTCTTACCAGTGTCTTGAAAGGAAATGTTAACAGCTGTCACTCCAGTGTAGCATTCCCAACTTTTTAGTAAAGAGCCTAGTGTCCTGGGCATGTCATTTAGTCTTGCCAAACCATTGTGTTTTGCCATGACTAAAGTGGAGATTTTTTTTGGTGGTTTTGCAGTGTATTTGGACTTCCTCAGATTCAAGTCAGTGTAAGCATTTTAAGTAGCAGTACCTTCTTAATTGATGAGGTTATTCTGAACTTGGAACCATTTGCTCTGAGGGAAGGGCCAGTAAGAAGGGAGCATGTAGTGTATTGATGCTACTGGTACTGCTAGTGAAACAGCACTGCAGCCAAAGTGATTATACTGGAAATCTTGATTTAATTCAAGAAGCTTCTGACTCAGCAATATTATACATAGCTTTGAATTCATGAGTAGTCCTTTGCCCGTTGCTGTATAATTTGGAAATTGCACATAAATGTAAGTACATTGCTCAAGCTGAAGTTTAATACTGCAAACAGCTATAAACAGTGCTTGCAGAAAAGGTTTGGGTAGAAACCAGGAAACTGAGAGTCCTCTCAGCTCTGAACATCCAACTTCTGTGTCTGATACTGCTCATCACTACTCACCCAGGTTAGCTGGAAAGCAGTGGCCTTCAGGAGACTTTGCAACACTGGTTTCCTGGGTGGTTCCTTACAGTAGACTGAAGTGCTTTGGTAGAGATGTTTGGGGGGACATGAGCATGGAGTTTTGCTGGGTACTTCTTGAAAAACAGACTTCCCAAGGGTGACATCAGTGTGTCTCTGGTTTGGAAATCTTTATTAATCTTTGTCTCAAAGCATATAAAACCCAGAATAGATAATATATTTTAAATTTGGTGGGAGGAAAAGTAATTCCCTAAAAAGATCTACTAATACTGTACCTCTATACTTATAAAATTGTACCCTGATTAAATTTGCTTTTTAAGCTAATGCAAGTGGGTTGCATATGTGGAAGATATATTTACAGGAATCAAGACAAAAAATTGAAATAAAATTACTTTAATAACAGACAGAAATCCTACAAGTAGGATCAAATAGAACATGCTGTTTTCTTGGGGCAAGAATCGTTGGCTGTGGTTTTCTACTTATACAAAAAATTACTTGAAAGATTGAATTATTTTTATTAAATTATTAAATACAT